TTTATAACATTATCGATACTTTCGATTTACAGAACGAACGATAGACATTGAATGGACGAACTGAATTTCGATGTCGTCTTCATGAATTTTAAATGTGGGATATTAAAAGTGGACTTTTTGTTGAAAATTTAATGAATACGAGCACAATTTAAGGGTTGGGATTGAGGGATGGACAAACCGATTGCAGCCGAAGGTAACCGAAGGCAAAGGGATTGGATTTTCTAAAGAAAAAGGTAAAGGATTGCCAAAAATGATAGATGATTGAAGTTTTACAGATTTTTTAAAAAATGTTTGTGTTTGTTGCACAATGTTGTTATTTTAGTATATTATACTTCAATATATCTACTATAAAGGTAAATACTAAAATTGATGAGTTTTCTTAGAAATTGAAATGATCGGTTTGTCATTGTAATTAGCATTTAGAAATGAACCTTCATTAGAGAAATGAAGTAATTGCTGATTAATAAATTCTATAATATTTGTTCGCACAGTGGATTATGTTAAACAACTCCTAAACAAATATTGTTTTTGCAACTTCACTCATCATGTAATTGTGTTTGAAGAACTTCATGTAATTAAAATTAACATACATTCATTGACTGCTTGTATTTTTTTTATTTTTCGCTGGCGATATAATCTCATTCTTTGAACAGCTGTAATATCTATCTTGCCTAAAAATTCGTTTCCATTTGAATAACTTCAAAGATTTATAGAAATTACTAATAATATAGAAATAAATTCTAATCAATAAACTTACGATTAGTATACGGCACAAATGTTTAATTTATTTTATTATTTTGAAGGAACAGATGTACTTCATAATGTTTATTTATCTTCGCCGATTTCCTTGTTGATATCGGTACGCATACAACGTTGATGCCGGTACGCATACAACGTCAGATCTCTATTTACATACACGACGACTAATCACAATCGACCCGTATAGAAATGATCTCATCGAGAGCGAATGACGAACAGTTCGAGCGTAACGGACTAAAGAAGTTTTACTTCAATAATTACAACATTTCTACTATTATTTTATAAAAATTTAAGCATGTATTTTTTATATTATAAATATCTTGAAATTTTGTAAATCTCATCTAATCGATTTTATTATTTTTTGTAATAGAAAACATACTTAAATATAACTTTGTAAAATTGCAGCATTCTATAAGTAACAAAATATTTTTAATAAATTAGTAAAACTTTGTCTTCGTTACGTACAATGCTTGTAATATAATTTTTTTTTGTATTTGTATTTATGTTTGTGTGTGCATGTCAGTTTGCTAAAGTCCTCTCCATAATTATTCCATTAAATAATTAATCAAATAATTTTCCAACTGATAGCTTATTATATTATATAATTCAGCATTTAGCATTTTCTAGGACAAACATATGTCGTCCTAAAAATATCACACACTAAATAAATTACTAAAGCCAACCGTCCTTTGCTTATTGTAAAAATCTATTTTTTGTACTAGGTCCAAGTGGCATTTAGCTTTAAGGCAATTCCGATAAATACTCGACTTAATTGTATGTTTTAGGGGATATTTGCAAAAAAACGAAAAAAACGCCAAAAATATATACATTTTTAGTAGCAAGTAACTTGAAAAGTATTAGTTTTTTAAAAAATTTAAAAGACATTTTTTTCTTATAATTAGTTCTTCTATCGATTTCCGACGTTATTTTAAAAAAATAAAATTACACAACTGAGAAGAGATTTTATCCCCTCGAGGGGAGTCCAAATTGTTTTCACTTTTGAACTTGAGGGTAAGATAAACCTCTTTCCAAAATTTGATGCAAATTGGAGCACAGTAAAAAAATTCAGACCCAAAACGCTCCATTGACAGGAGTAAAAGAGTGATGTTAAGACCGGTACAGAGTAGGGTTTTCAGCAGTCATGGTATTAAAAATAATAATTTGGCATAAAAAATTTAGACAAACTATATTTTATACATCACATCTTTTATTCATATAATATATAATAATATGTATATAATATTTGGATCATAAAATATATAGAATATTCAATAAATCTAATTTATATTGGAACTTACATAGGTATATATATATATATATATATATATATATATATATATATATATATACTTAAACATACGCACACAAAAATATAGATATATTAATCTAATTGAAATATATTAAACCAACACATCACCTCTTCAATTTCAACAGTGGCTTGTTAAAAATTATTATAAACAATTTATTTGTGCCACTATCGAATTGATTCAACATAAAATTGTACCTGCCGTTTAATATATATACATCAATTTTTTTAAAGCCATATTTGATTTTTTTAGGACAAAGTTTTTGTTGGGAATGGAAAATGGAAAATGGAAGGTGGAAGGTGGAAATTCTGCAGTCCTTTTAATACTAAAATTTTAACCAAACCGATAACCGATTGTCGAAACGTAAGTGGGAATTACAGTAATAAATATTTAATATTTTCGACAAGAATATATATATATATATATATATATATATATTATATATGATAGTTTTGTCAACGTTGATACATATTTGACATATTTTATGCAGCCCAATCATCGAATTAAAAAAAAGATTAAATAGAAAAATTCTAGAATTAAATAGAGAAAATTCTAGAAACCCAAATCAATTCAAAACTATGCTTTCAGAACATATGATTAACTTGAACCATACTTTCAACATGTCAAATCCTACCATCGTATACATTGAAAAGAATTGTGACCTTAGAAAGATAGTTGTATCGTTACTTATATTCCTTATTACTTCTTGTGTCAACAAACGGAATTCCTCTCATCTTTTACATGACAGTTACAAAGTTAATATAAATTTCATGAAAAGTAATTTTTTACATTTTCAGAATTTTTCGTTTGTTATATCCCTTCTCTGTTTTCACTCCTTTTTTGTTACACTCTACCACACGTGCTGCGTAACCTTGATCAGTTTTCATAATGCTCTGCGATTGAACACATACAATATAAGAGGGCAATATGTGCTCCTTTAATTCCTCGTTTATCAATATATTAGTATATTATTCTTTTACACAATTTAGTGTTCAATAAATTTTACATAATTGTTTTTTTCTATTGTTTTTCCTCCTTTTTATATATTTATACTTAATATAAACTTTTGTATTTATGTAATATGTTTTTTAGATTACTGAATGATGACACACATCAAGTGTCGAAACGTTTAATGGAATAAAAAAATTCTATTTAACCTTTTTTTTAATTCGACGATTGGGCTACTTTATATCAAATTAATTGACTAAAAAATCATCTTTTCAAAAATTCTGAGCATGGCCAAATTAAAATTTTATTTCTGCAACATAATTTTTTCTGGATATCCTGATCATGACAGAATTCTAACATTCGAAACGTGTGAATATTTTTATTGTTATAGATATTTATTAATAATATTCTCTTGATATTATTCATATATATATTTATAAGAGGCTATATAAAGATTGTATATTGTTTATAGAATTATTTATTTATAGTTTATTTTTTATTCTATAGAGATTTTGTGATATGGGTTTTTGTTTTTAATAAATGCAATTTGTTCATAAGTATTCATAAATTTGTTCATAAACAAATGGCGAAACGTAATAATTATTAGTTTTCTGGTTTGCCATTTGGAGGTTACGAAAACGCTACCTTAGGATCAGAAACATTTCAAACGTTTCGATTTATCGAATTTTAGTCTTATTTACTTGTTTTCTTTATATACAATTATTAGGTATTATTAGCCAATAAATCACAAATGTGGAAAATACTGATGAAGACAGTACATTGTTAATCGAAACGTGTATGTTGGATTTAAAAAAAATGTTTCTGTAGAAATTTTGATGATGACTATTATTGTGCAACCGAAACGTTAAAAAATCCGAAAACAAGATTTGAAAAATTCTGTATTTGTTAATAGTCTATAGATGACCATGACTAAGCAACCAAAACTTAGAAGAGGAAATAATAATAGGTAATTTGTGCCAAAATATATTTCTTCACTTTTTTTAAATCCTGAAGATGGCCACAATCAAGGGACCAATATATTTCTTCATATATAACTAAACACGTACTTGTTGGCCTTTTTAGTTGGCCAAAAAACTATTTTGAAGTGGTACTTGTATTTTTTGCTAAAGCATGCAACTGTTTGTTTTTTATAATCCTGAAGATGGCAAAATACTAATTTTACAAAATAAAATTAATGACTTTTTTTCGTTAGAATAAAACATAGATTTTTATCCTGATGATGGCCATAACCAAGTGACTAAACTAAATAATTTTTTATCTTTTTTAGATGGCCAAAATACTATTTTTCACCACTACGAAGTCTTTTTTGTTTGGAAATTAATTGTTTTAATTTAATCACATATAAAAATAATTGACAATCATTTCGAAATTGTTTATAATTTTTTTGTTTGTTTAAACAATATATTGACAATACTATATATTGACTGTGGTATTGACACATATCGATTTATATTATTGAATTACGAGGAAATTGTTTTTCTAATCCTTACCACTCTATGGAATCATCATTCATCAATTTTACGTAGATTTATTTTATTTTAATTGAAAACATTTTTTGAAATTATACTTTTAATGCAACTTTGAAAATGTCTGCTTAAAAAAATAATATCATACCAGTAGAACAGTGAAGTCATTTACTATTGGAATTGGAGGTCAATTTTGTTCAATAATAAAAATTTCATCTACTAGGAGTACAGTCACATATCAGCAAATTTTGGAATCAAATTTCTTTCCAAATCTAATAATATAAATCTTGATGTGTCTATTTTATAATAATATAATATTTTTCTACCTTGGTCACAATTTTTTAGTTGAGCAGTCTATAACCTTTTTTGGAAGATAACTTTAAATTATAACTATTCTCAACAAACTAAATACAATTCATTCATGATAAATTAAATTAAATTTTACTTAACCTGTTTGTTTTTGTTTTTTCTGATTTTTGATGTATTGATGTCTTTTGTCTCAATTTTTATCTTTCGGAGAACTTTTATTTTGTTCGTTTGGTGTCGCAGGGGTTGGTTCGTCTAAGAACATTGGGTTCTTTACTTCCATTTCACCAGTCTAGAATAGAAAAGAAATTCTTTATAATAAATATTATATATTCCTTGTTTTTGTAGATATGCTACTAATAAGAAAGAACACTATTGAGCACGATCATGAAAAGGAAAGGAAACTGGTTTGGATTCATACTGAAAAAAAAAATCTCATTCACGACGTAGCCGTGGAAAATAGTACTGAATGAACTTTGTAGAAGGAGAATGCTGATGATTGACGACTTACGAGAAAGAAAGGAATACAGGAAACTTGCAAATTTGGAATAATAAATAAGTGAGAGAAAGGTAATCATGAATTTGTGATGGTCCAACTTACAGAAGCCAGTCCTGGGCACTCGTATACTGTGTAATCTCCTTCATCGTTTTCTTCATCACTTTCAGGATCAGATTGGTTATGAACTTGTGATGGTTCTAAACGACTGGAAAATAAAATTCAGGTAAATATTTTTATCTTAAAACTTTAGCTGTTCTCACAAAAAAATTAGACATATTCCAAAAACTTGGCCTAAGAGTGAAAACGGAAACTATATCTATCTATCATGGGTTTGAGTGAGCACTTTTTTAAGTATTGCTATCATTCATGCTATTTGGTAGGCTTTGTTCAAAGCTACATGATTCTGGCCCTACTGGCCTTTAACATAACCCAAAGAATTTACAAATGACACATTTGGGATTCTTGTAGACAAATTTGTTATCACAACTTAAAAAAACATGTGTATTTATGTCTTGTGCGATATTTTAAAGTTTCTGGCCCAAAACCGGGCCAATATTCAATTATAGTATGTGGGAAAATGGATACTATTTCTATATCAGTATTACTATCATTCATGCTATTTGATAAGCATTGTTCAAAGCTACATAATTCTAGCCCTACTGGCCTTTAACATAACCCAAATAATTTACAAATGACACATTTGGTATTCTTGTATACAAGTTTGTTATCACAACTTAATTTGTGTATTTATGTCTTGTGCGATATTTTAAAATTTCTGGCCCAAAACCGGGCCAATATTCAATTATAGTATGTGTAAAAACGGAAACTATATCTATATCAGCATGGGTTTGAGTGAGCACTTCTTTAAGTATTGTTATCATTCATGCTGTTTGGTACGCTTTGTTCAAAGCTACATGATTCTGGCACTACTGGCCTTTAACATAACCCGAAGAATTTACAAATGACTACAAGAATTTGGGATTCTTGTAAACAAATTTTTTATTACAACTTAGAAAACATGTGTATTTATGTCTTGTGCAATATTTTAAAGTTTCTGGCCCAAAACCGGACCAATATTCAATTATAGTATGTGGGAAAATGGATACTATATCTATATCAGCATGAGTTTCTTTAAGTATTGCTATCATTCATGCTATTTGGTAGGCTTTGTTCAAAGCTACATGATTCTGGCCCTACTGGCCTTTAACATAACCCAAAGAATTTACAAATGACACATTTGGGATTCTTGTAGACAAATTTGTTATCACAACTTAAAAAACATGTGTATTTACGTTTTGTGCGATATTTTAAAGTTTCTGGCCCAAAACCGACCCAAAATATGTCTTCTGCAACAAATTTCTTTGAAATAATTCATTATAATTATTACGAGTGATTAGTTCACGGTTCAATGAATATTATTCAATGTTTTATTGAACATCTGTCGCCAATGAGTATTTGATTGGCCAGTTTGTGGCCCAATAGACAACTCTATAGCTATACTAAATTATATTGAATTGTCCAAAATCTGGTCCAATTGAAATTTTACTGAGTTCTTTAAAAATTATGCTTTAAATCAATTTACATGAGAACTAATTTCTTCTTCTACTTACTTCTCCATGGCCAAAATCTGCTGTTTCTGATGATGATAATGATACAGCTGCGCACTTTGGGCCAGTCGTTTATCAGCTAAATTTAATGAAGCAGGACTTTGCAAAGGCCCACCCTGATTCGGGTCTTTAACATTTGGCCCTGTGACGCCGTACGCCGGATATTCTGCATCTTGGGCCAACTTGGACCGTTTTTGTAACCTACATGTGTAAACAATTATAAGTACTACTCTTGGGTATTGATGATTTATTTCAAGATGTACTCACGTGTACCATCCGATACCGAAAGCTACCAGTCCAACGGTAGCTGCTGCACTTATACCGGCTACCATTGCTACAACATACAGGGTTGGACCATCGTCTTCCAAGGGCCTTTTTCGGATCAGTTTTGTCATTTTAACGCCTTGGTCGAAAAGAGAGTAATCGGAGAATGGTTCGAATTTGGAATTCAGGTCTAATGGTTGGTCATCTAGAATGTATAAATGGTAAAAAAATATCTGATAAGCAACTAGTGAAAATACTCTAAATTTACCATTTCCGCCAACTTTCGAATTGTGCACCTCCTCTCCGTAGTACCTGGGATCATTAGGGCCGACAGCAAACGGTGGTTCCTTATCCCTTATCTGATGTGACCCCAGAGCTGGTAAATTATACGTAAACTCCGGCCCGTCTAACTTCTTATCCGCAGTAGTTTCCTTTTCGTTCTCGTGTTCGACGTGTTCATCATTTTGTGCCACTGCTTGTGTTGCATCTCGGTGATGACTAAATTTGGACATGAAGTTTTCGCTATCTGGTAAATGTTTGTTGTCTGTCTTCGATTTCGAAATTTGGTACTTGGTGTCGTCTTTAGCGTTCAGGTCGTTTCCGAAATGGTGGTTGGCGTAGATTCGGCCGTAGTTCTTGTTGATTGGCGGTCGTTGGTGGTAGCTGTTGAAGTATTTTGCATTCAGGTTGGCGGTTATTCGGTCTTGGAGGTCTTTTAGTTCGTTGTGAGGTCTTGGTGGAGGCTCTGGAAATTGAATCATGCGAAAAATAAGTTGATATCGCATAGAAGTAGAATTAGAATATAGTATTATAAAATGTAGATTACATCTCACCAATTTTTTCTTCACTTTTAGCAACCTCATCAGCAACATACTCCAAATTATCCTCCTCCAATTGCTGAACAAACGGTTCAAACTGCCTCAGATCCAAAACTGGTTCCAACTTTCGATGATTTGCTTCTGCAACCGGTTCCGGATCCAAAGTCTCTTCATACTTTCGGTAGTTTTCGTATTCGTTCGGGAAACGGGACCTGTGGAAAATGGAAAGAAAGAAATATAAAAGAAAGGTAAGGTATTTACAATTACATATTTGTTCATGTTGAAGTAAAACTTCTAAGAATTCGTTGAATTATGAATGCTTTAGGGAAAGAGCAATTTTCAGTGTTGGTCTCGGAGTTTTGTAGTTTGCCAGGTAGGTCTGGTTATATATTATGTCTGAGAGTGTTGTAGGTTGTCTTAGAGTGTTTTTATTTATTTATTTATTTATTTATTTATTTATTGTTGTAGGTTGCCTGAGAGTTTTATAGATTATCTAATCGTGCTGTAGATTGTCTAGTTTGTTTTTTGAAAATGTTTTGTTTAGATTTTTAGAAAGATTTATACATGGTCTGAAAATATCCTGGATTATCTTAGACTGTTGCATTTTGCCTGAAAGTGTTGTAGGTAGTCTGAGAGTGTTGTAGATTATCTAAGAATGTTGTAGATTGTCTAATTTGTTTCTGAAAATGTTTTGTTTAAATTAAAAAAAAAATTGTACATTGTCTAAAAATGTCCTAGGTTGCATTTTGCCTGATTGTCTAATTTGTTTCTGAAAATGTTTTGTTTAAATTAAAAAAAAATTGTACATTGTCTAAAAATGTCTTAGACTGTTGCATTTTGCCTGAAAGTGTTGTAGGTTGTCTAAGAGTGTAGTTTGTAGTAGATCATTTGAGAGTATTGTAGATGGTCTAGAAATGTGAAAAATCATCTTCAAATGTAGTAAATCATCTATTTCTCTGTTTCTTCTTTTCCACTTTATCAAGTTTTACTCAAAGAAACTATTTACATTAAAATTATTAATTTTACTATTACTATTGTCTGTTACCTTGATCCGTACAGAGATGGCGTTTCATCTTGGAATCGGTTTAGAACTTTGCTAGATGACTGTTTCTGGTTGATTTGTTCTCTATGTGCTTGTTCGAGTAAGGATGCTAATCTTTGTAAAGCGTAATGTTGATTGTGTTGTTGGTTGTCTAGAATGAAATTTTAAAGAAATTATTTAAAATTGTACAACTTCTGCAAACAACAGAAGACTATAAAGCAATTCTTCTTTAGGCGCTAGACTAGGGTGTAAATCCGTACAAATGCAACGGAAGTGCGTTACGGCCGAGTCGAGTGCCAATGATTCGTAATTCGCTCTCGATGAAATCATTTGTATACGGGTCGATTGTGATTAGTCGTCGTGTATGTGAATAGAGATCTGTCGCTGTATGCGTACCGGCATCAACGTTGTATGCGTACCGATATCAACAAGCAAATCGGCATAGATAAATAAACATTTTAAAGTTACATCGTAGTACAAATATTGATTTAATGAAAAATGCCTGAACCAGAAGAATATTTTACTCTGTTACTTGAAAATAATAAAACAAATTATGCATTTGTGCCGTGTACTAAACGTAAGTTTATTGATTAGAAATTATTTCTATATTATTCGTAGTTTCTGTAAAGTTATTAATATGGAAAATATTTTTTAGACGAAACAGATATTACAGCTGTTCAAAGAATGAGATTATATCGCCAACAAAAAAGTAAAAAAAATACGAGCAGTCAATGAATATATGTTAATTTTAATTACATGAAGTTCTTCAAACACAATTATATTTCTTTAGGCGTTGTTTAACATAATCCACTGTGTGAACGAATATTATAGAATTATTAATCAGCAATTACTTCATTTCTCTGATGAAGGTTCATTTCTAAATGCTAATTACAATGACAAACCGATCATGTCATATTTGAAGTATGACTTCAATTACATTATTGTTTTTAAATATTATACATATTTTTAATGCTATTATAAATATATAATTTATAATTTATCATTATATAAATGTGTATAATGGTTGACACTAATAAATGCATTGTTTATATTTATCTTTAAGGTTATTCAACTTTTTAAGCTCTTGAATAATTAGTTATTCAGTTCCAACTTAACCTGGATTTTGTTATCATAAAAAAACTTTGATAAAAATTTGTTTTAAATAATTATCTATGTAAATATACATATCGTATACAATTTTATATGGCTGCTAAACATTTTTGCATACTTAAAATGATTATTAAAAATTATCTGATAATTTAAAAATTCAAATACTGTTAGAGTCATAGTTAGAGTACACTGAGGGTCATCAAGTTTTTTTTTGTTTAAATAAAAATTTATAGATTTATTTTATATTTAAATAAATTTTATTATACATATATATATATATCTATATATATATATATATATATATATATAAATTTTTGTACGTAATATATTTTCGTTCTCATAACATTTTTATTTATTTATAAATATTTATATAGGTTGTTTAAATCGATTGCAGATTTTATAAACATCGACGCAGACAATGCAAATACAAATACCATCTTTTATAGAAATTTTAAAAAATATTATTGTAATTTTAACGCGAATAATATTATGGAATTTTTCACTAAGGGTTGGAAAATATATAAATAATTATTAACTTCCCTTTGGGTAAGTTTTAGTAACCGCAAAAAAATCGAAAATGAAAAATTTTATATATCTTTACGTTTCAGAGGCTTCTGAACATTTTGACATACCTTAGAAAAAATGGATGTGTGTATGTGTGTGTGTGTGTGCGGATACAAATTTTCGTCGACGATTTCGGGAACACCGATCAACCGATTTGAATAATTCCAAAAACATTCGATTCGTATTGATAAGGAGACGTGCTGATTAGTTTTTGGCGAAGGCAGGTCTAGCAGTTTCGAAGATACGGGGCAAAAAATGCCAAAAACGGTGACTCAGTTATTAAGAGAATGGGGCAAACGATTTTAATAATTCAAAAAACATTCAACTTGTATTGACAAATGAAGAACTGATTAAATTTTTGGGAAGGCAGGTTCAGCGGTTATGGACTCTCAATAAAAATAAGTTAAAAAAATGTCATTTGGCGGTCCAAAATGTTTATTGGACATATGCACATCAAATCATCAGATATTTTATAGATTTAAATAATGTGTACACATTTTGTGTTAAATTTTTTTGGTTTCCGTACCAAGATTTTTAATTACGGTACGGGAAGTTCCAGCAATTAGGCTTAAGGCCCGATGCAATGCACCCCACTAGTTTGCTTATTAAATTATTTATTACTTTTTCTAATAAGAATAAAATTTCTAATCTAGATGCATTTTAGTAAAATTTAAAACGTAATTTTTTACGACTCGACTAAAAGTAATAAAATTTCTTTATCACTAAAACACAAGTGCATTTAAAATAATATCGTTTTAGCTTTATCAAACTGACCTATAAAACTATAAAAATAATAATAATAATATATGTCTTAGCAACAATTTTAAGCACAAAGGAATTTGTTAATGATAAAACAAAAATTTTATAAAATTTTAATGTCAAGTTGTTTAAATATTAATACAATATTTTTTTTATTTAACATTAATTTACAATTATAAGAAACTTAAATATTTTTGATTTTTTTTTTCTAATTCTATGACTAAAATTTATGTTGTTTTACATTATTTTAAGTTTTTGTATCAATTTTAAATTTAATAATAATTATAACAATACATTTTAAAATCGATTTACAACAAGGAATTTGTTACTAATTGAATATGTTTAACGATTTTTTTTAAATTTGAGACAAAATAATTTATTGTCTTGATAATATTAAATATTATATTGTTGATTATTAACAAATTAAATTGTCATTTAATTTTTTAATTGAATAATAATTATAACAATATTTACAATCATGAGAAATTTGTTACTAATTTTAATATAATATTTTAAGTATACTTTTTTAAATTCTGCAACCAAATTTTATGTCGTATTGTTTAAATATAACCATTTATAATAGCATTAAAAATATGTATAATATATAAAATAATAAATAAGTATAATATTTAAAAACAATAATGTAATTAAAGTCATACTTCAAATATGACATGATCGGTTTGTCATTGTAATTAGCATTTAGAAATAAACCTTCATTAGAGAAATGAAGCAATTGCTGATTAATAAATTTAATAATATTCGTTCACACAGTGGATTATATTAAACAACGCCTAAACAAATATTGTTTTTGCAACTTCACTCATCATGTAATTGTGTTTGAAGAACTTCATGTAATTAAAATTAACATACATTAATTGACTGCTTGTATTTTTTTACTTTTTCGCTGGCGTTATAATCTCATTCTTTGAACAGCTGTAATATCTGTCTTGCCTAAAAATATTTTCCATTTTAATAACTTCAAAGATTTATAGAAACTATGAATAATATAGAAATTATGTCAATAAAGTCTCGTTTAGTACACGGAATAAATGTTTAATTTGTTTTATTATTTTCAAGGAGCAGGGTAAAATATTCTTCTGATTCAGGCATTTTTCATTAAATCAAGATTTGTACCACAATGTAACTTTAAAATGTTTATTTATGTATGCCAATTTCCCTCTTGATATCGGTACGCATACAACGTTGATGCCGGTACGCA